TGCCTGCAATCCACCTACTCAGGAAGCTGAGGTGGGAGGATCTCTTGAGCCTAGGAGTTTGAGGCTACAGTGAGCTATGACTGGCTGCTACACTCCAACCTGGGCAATGGAAAGAGAACATGTCTAAAAAACAGTAAAAAGAAATAAAGGCCAGGTGTGGCGTCTTTCACCTGTAATCCCAACATTTCAAAGGGCCATGAAGAGAGGAGCCTTTGAAGCCGGGAGTTCAAGACCAGCCTGGGCAATGCAGCGAGACTCTGTCTCTACTAAAATAAAGTAAAATAAAATAAAATAAAATAAAATAAAATAAAATAAAATAAAACATTAGCCAGGAATGGTGACGCACACTTATAGTCTCAGCTACTTAGGCAACTGAGGCAGGAGGATGACTTGAGCTCAGGAGCTTGAGGCTGCAGTGAGATATAATCATACCACTGGCACTCCAGACTGCACAACAGAATAAGACTCTGTCCCCCCAAAAAATGGTTAATTAATTAATTGAAAAGTAACTGAAATCCCAGAAAGAAATCATTACATTTAAAGTCAATTATTTGACAAATGGGTCAAGAAACTTCATTTGGAAAGAAACAGTCTTTTCTTGTTTTTGTTTTTGTAGAGACAGGTGTCTCACCATGTTGCCCAGGCTGGACTTAAACTCCTGGACTCAAGCAGTACTCCTGCCTTGGCCTCCCAAAGTGCTGGGATTACAGGCGTGAGCCACTGTGTCCAGCCAGGAATAATCTTTTCAACAAATGGTGGTGGGGAAATAGGATATCAATGTGCAAATTATGTCTAACACCACACACAAAATTAACTGAAAATGGATCACAGATCTAAATGTAAAAACTAAAACTATAAAACTCTTAGACGAAAATATAGGAGTAAATCCTTGTGTTCTTGTGTAAGGCATTGATGTTTTTAGATACAATACCAAAATCATAGTTCAAGACAAGACTGGGCAACCTAATGAGACCTGGGAAAGGAGGAAAGGGGGGAAGTGAGAAAATGAAAAAAAATGGCAAGCTGAACATCAGCTGAATTAAAAACTTTGGCACATCAAAAGAGACAAAATATATATATATAT